AAAAAAAAAAAAAAAAAAAAAAAAGGAAAGAAACCTCGGCTGTTTCTCCGTGCACGCGGTCGTGAATTTTGTGCCCAGGGGCCCAAACACACGCTCGACCGAGCACACAATTCCAATAAATTATGGACCTACATCGAGTATCTGAGGTTCTTTGGGGAGTCTGTAGTACCAAGGAGGTGTTTAGAATCTTTAGATTTATAGAGCGGGGGTAGTTGCTGGGGTAGTTCAGTACTCAGACCCACTCTGCAAATCAGACAACAATTTTTCATTATTTTTGCAATATCGGGGGTCGCCAAAGGTCAGTGAGAGTCACAACATTGATTGATGTCCACAAAACCGTACCTTTCCAGTTCCCTTCGCCGACCCTCTTTTCTGGACAGTGGCAACTGTCATGTTGCGCATCATCTGAGAAGCTCTGCGGTTGGCTAGAGGAACCACAGCCTGAAATTATCACAGGAATAAACGTACACAGGATGCAAGCAGATCAAAGTAGAGAATGGTTGGGTAATGTAGGTCGGTGAGTGTGTGCATGCATGTATGGTGAGCCGCGCAAGAGAGAGGTTCTTTTGAAATCCAAAACCCCTTTCAAAAACTAGCGTTTTTCCTTTTCAATGTAGTTTGGACTGCTTCTTTATCTTTGTGTGAAATCATACGATAGCCAATCACCTAAATTACCTAACTAAGATTTAACTCACACTCTCAGAATTAATAAACAAAAAAGTACACTGGGATTTCAGGGGAACTACACTTCAAACGTTAACATGTCTGCTATGTGGGTTGTAATTCCCCAATGCCGGAACAACAGAAGGCTGGCCGATTGCCTCTTACACAACTCGGTGGGTTGTCATCCCACCATACGCCACATCAGCAGATGAACCAAGATGAAAGCTATGATACCAAGGGGATCTTCCAAAGTCTGAATCCGACCTCCACAACAGCCTGGGCCTTCAAAAAAAAAAAAAAAAAAAGAGGGGGAAAAGAAAGGCTATGCAACACCATGAGGTCAACCAAAACGAGCTTAATCATGTTTTGTATTGGGTGGGTGGGGGGGGTTGGGGAGGGGGGTAATCACGGGGGGGGGGGGAGGGGAGGGGGGGGAGGTTGAGGGGGGAAAGGTGGGGGGGAGGGGGTGATGTGGGGGAGGTTGCAGGGGAGGGGGGGTTGGGTGGGACAGGGAGACAGAAAACTGATGCCATTCTCATCATCCCATGCCAGAAGGTTGTCAATCCCCACTCCTGCCATGTCATCATACATCCTCCTCCTCGTTCGGCTACTGCTGCTGTTTTCATCGCAAGCTCTTATAAACAGGTTGGAGGAGACAAACTATATTTGACATGTGTGGACAAACGACTTGGAAGTTGAAATTCAAAGACAAGACTTGCACAATTCAGACTTTGAATGCAGAATCCACAACCTGAATGTGAAATTTCAGAATCGTCCTCACCTCCGTAAGCAGGAAGTGTACACTTGTTGTAAACAGGAAGAGAACAGCCATGGGCAAAAACATTCTCAGCTTGCTAACTCCTGCTCCTCTAAGTGCTGCAGACATCAACAATGCGACGTAAAAGTCTCAAGACCACATTGCACATAGCCTGCTGGCAATCTCTTACAGAATAGGGGGCAACGGCATTAGCAAATTTTTAATTTTTTTTAGGGAGCAAACAGAACACTGAAGTCTCTCGATAAACAAATCCCAACTTCTCTCCTCCAATCATCAGTGAACCAGCAATGTTGTACCCCTACTGCAGTATGACCACCCTACTCTACTTCCTACAATTTTTTTATTTTTTTTTTTGTTAGGAGCAAACAGAACTGCAAGGAACATGAATGTGGACGAAGCACAGAGATACCAATTGCAAAATCACACTGAAGTCCAAGTAGTCAAAGCAAGAGCAGATAGCACATCGGAACCAAGATACCATCCATTTGAGAACGATACAGCAAAAGTCGTGAGTCAATGTCCAAGCCCAATAGGGCAACACCAACAACATAACCCGAAGTAGCTCTCTCTCTTGAATGGCGYCAGGCGCCCTATCTACTCTACAGCCTATAMCTACAACTACAGCATGGAAGCAACCAGACAACTTGACGACCAGCGAGTGATGACGCCAACACCAATGCCGACCACCTCTCCACCAGGTACGTCTCTCTCTCTTCCCTCACTCTCCCTTGTTATCCCACACAGCGCCCTTCACCTCCCGAAGAACCACCTTCGCCCTCACCTCCTCCAGCGCCCTCATGCAGCCTGGCTATGGCTGCCAGCGCCCTGCGCCCAGGCTGCACCCTTCCGCTTAGCGCCAGCCTGCCTTCCTAGCGCTGCATCTGCTCCAACACGTGCATTAGCGCAGCAGCGTGCCGGCATTGCGTGCAAACGCCAAGATCCCTGCCCACTCGCCTGTTCTGCCTATATGCCAGTGTTGCGTGTGGGTGGTCTGTCTTGAGCCTGCGCCTGGGCCCCAGTACCTGTACCCAGGCCCAATGCAGATGGGGCCCAGGTAATACAGTTGTGCCCCTTGTGCTAGGGCCGTTGTCCAGATTCAGGCCCTGTACCGGTTTCCCATTGGTTTCCTCGGCCTCGACGACGAAATACTGCTTTTCTGAGGCCAGGTACCAATGTGTGATGTGTCGGCCTCCCAGACTGCCGCCCAGGGCTCAACCAACCGAGGCCCTGGGCTCAACTGCCTTGCAGGAGTCTGAGGCTCACGATGCACTCCAACCAACTGGCGTGCGGCAACTGTCTGATACCCACTTTGTGAAATGCTGAATAAAGGTCTCTCGTGGATATTCTGGTCCGCCTTCAATTAGGGCGGGCACGAGGCTTGCTGGGGGCCTATGCCCAGAACATATGCATGTCGGCAAGGCCCCGTTGAGGGCTCAATCCTCACATTCCATCCCCCTTAGCTTCGAAAGTCTGCTGAGATGCTTACTTCGCAGGTGCCTTCCCCTTTAGCTGTCTTTCATATTCCGCCACCACTTGAGGTGCTGTTTCAATCAGTTCCTCTCTGGTGAACCACCGATCTTCTTTCGGATCTGTGTGATGCCTGAATCTGACTCTGTATTCTCTCTTGGGTTTTGGAGGTCTTCCTCTGCCAAGAGGTCTGGGAACAGGCATGTCTCTGTGATCCAGAATGTCGTCGATGTCCACGTGGCCCTCCATGGTTGGGGGCAGCATTGATCTCCTTGAAGGAAATTGATCTGTCTCAGCAAAAGGTGCAAGCTTTGAGGCATGAAACACAGGGTGCGTGCGCAGGTGACCAGGGATACGGATAACATAGGAAGGACCATCCATCTCATCCCCAACTATGTACAGGACTTCCCAGGGACCAAAATTCTGAGGCATTAGTTTTCGAGAGATACCGAATTCCTGTCCTAGCTCACTAGCCTTGACCCAGACACATTCCCCTACCTGAAATGAGGACTGTCGACGATGTTTGTTCTCAGAAGCAATCATTGCTTGCTGAGATTTCCTGATGTGCTCGACAGCTTGCTGTAGCAACTTCTCATACTGCACACCATACTCAAGTGTGCCCGGAGTTGCAGAGGGTTGGTTTTCAGGCAGGAGGAAGTCCAGAGCTGATCTAGGCTTCCATCCCAAGTGCAGCTGATTAGGACTGACACCGGTACTGTTGTGTACAGCGTTGTTGTACAGGCTGGCGATGAGAGGCAACTTCTCATCCCAGTCATCCTGGCTGGGCTTGATGTAATGCCTCAGCAGGTGTTGTACAACTCTGTTCATCTGCTCGGCCTGTCCGTTGGCTTCGGGATGATTCCCGGAGGTCATATGAAGTTGACTGCCCAATTGCTCAGCAGTCTTCTTCCACAACTCACTTGTGAAGCGGACATCTCTGTCACTAACGATTGACTTTGGCAGTCCAAAATCACGCACCCAGTTGTCCATAAACAACTTGATGACGTGTTCAATCCTTGCGGTCTTTGGCATGGCAATTAGTCCATCGTACTTGGTGAATCGGTCTATGATGACAAAGATGTGCCTCTTGCCATTCCTACTCGTCACCAGGGTGTCCATGAAATCCATGGAAACACTCTGTCCCGGACAAGCGGGGATAGGTAAGGGCTTCAGCAACCCAAGCGGTGCTTGAGTTCGCGGCCCGTCCCGCTGACAGACTTGACAGGTCTCCACATACTTCTTTGCATCATCTAGCATTCCGGGCCACCAAAATCGTTGTACTAGATTGACACTGGTCTTTTTGTAGCCAAAGTGTCCAGTTCCGTCATGACATTCTCCTAGAAATAAACTGCGCAAATGCTCACTAGATGGAATAACTAATCTTTTAAATCCGGCCTTATCAAGAAAGAGTAGCCCGTCCACCATCACAAACTCATCTTC